AGCTGGGATTATAGGCGCATGCCACCATGCCTGGCTAACTTTTGTATTTTTAGTAGAGACAGGGTTTCACCATGTTGGTCAGGCTAGTCTCAAACTCCTGACCTCATGATCCACCTGCCTTGGACTCCCAAAGTACTGGGATTACAGGCGTGAGCCATCATGCCCAGCCAGGACCTTTTTCTAAGAACATGAAGTGCTTACCATCCATATTCTTTCTCAGCTTTGTGGCTTCAGCCAAAATTTCAAGACATCAAAAAAGTTCGATTTGACATCCCATAACCTATATTTATATATCTATTATGTAACACGTGGTAAAGTGACTGAAACATAACAGGCACTTACTACATATTTTTGAATGGGAAAATAAAGAGAGGAAAAGAGACAGGGCAGTGAGAAGAGAGCAGGTGAGCAAGAAATGGAGATAAAATAGGAAGCATAAGGGCAAAGAGGGCCAAGATTCAAAATTTATCATAAATTATTTCAAAATAAATGGCCTACATAGTATATGTTGAATAGCAGCATGAGCAGAAGTTCAAAGTGAGGCATTATATTTTCTCTTTTTTTAAAAAAAACATACTAAAAAATGAGTGAGGCCAACAATTTTCTATTAAAAAGAATTAAAATCCATAGCTTTAAGCAATTGTACTTCCCACAGTGAAATATCAAAATATTCTTAACATATAGAGGGAAAAAGTGAATAAGATATATGAATATTAATATAAAGAGATTTCAAATGATACCAGAAGTTCAAGGTCAGAGTTTAGATAGGGGACACAGTAGATGCTGATGTCTGTTGAGCATTAGCATGTGTCAAACCCTGCATTTGGCATTTTACAATTGTCGACTCATTTAATCCTTGGGACAGTCATATGAAGAACTGCAGCCATTTACAGATATGGGAAAAGGGTCTCAGAAAGTTCAAATCACTTGACTTCAATCAGTTTAAACAGCTGCATAGCTAAACTGATTGATCTGAATCCACATCTGTGACTTGAGAGAGCCCATGTCCAGGATTACTAATGCCTGCTTTCCTACTCTTAGAAATTTTCACAGTCATTCGACGGAATTATGGCTACTGTCCTAGAAACTGCAATCACCCATCTCCCTTGCATCCTTGCATCTCAAATAATAGTATTTGAGGGGAGTGCTGTGTGAGCTTCTAGAAATAGTCTTTGTATTATTTTTTTTTTAATGTGAGTCTGCTTTCTAGGGAATAGAAATATTCTTAAAAGGCAAATCGGTGCCTTGACTGCTTTCGACTTTATCCCTTCCTAGGTCTGCCATTCTCTTGACCCTAAAGATGATGGTCATATTCTTGGGATGGCAGAGCGAGGGGCTGTCAGTAGCCTGGGTTCCTGCTTCTTAGAGCAGAACCAACATAGAAGACATGGTTTGTCTTCCTCTGGACTTTCACCTGAGAAGAGCAGACTTTCAAACTCTTACATGGCTGTTTACTTGGGGCCACAGTTATAGCGAATACAGAACTTAGTACCCTGCAGGAGGTGCTCCACATAATGGAAATGGAAATATGCGGTGTAATGAAGGTCGTGTTGTTAGGTGAGAGGTGGTAAGTGTTCAGAATCTTCCAGATTCTGCAGAAATCTGGGCATACTTGTTTGGCAGTGGGAACATTTGGTTCAAATGGATCCTACTCTGCCCTGGAAAATGTATTACCTGCTGAGTATGACTGTAGCATGAGGGGAAAAGGTAAGACAAATTCAGAATTTTTCTGTGGCTTGGGTGCTCTGCAGCTTTTTAGCAGAGACTCACAGAAGGGAGCTCAGGCTGGAGAGCACAGTGTGCGAGCAGAGGAGGGAAGGAAGCCAGCCCTCTCTACCTGCAAGCCTAGCTGACTGAGAGCATGGCAATTTGGAGCCTTGGAGGGTTGAAACAGCCAACACCCTCTGTGCCTGATGGGAGCCCTCAGAAGTGTAGATCCCAGACAATGGCCTTAGGGGAAGAAATACTGTGGTCCTAAGCTTTTCCCCAGCACCTTCCGTTAAGGATTGAGTGCCAGACCTGGGATCCAGCCAGCAATAAACATCACACCATGGGTGTGGCCTTTCCCTTAAACCTTTCCCACCACATCCACCAAACAGAGACAGAGGCAGGCATGGGCAGAGCACAGGTGCAGTTACAGAGCAGCGATCAGGCTTAAAGCTTCATCCAAGCAAGATCTGTGGCAGTGGTTTAAATGGCCAATGAGGGGGATGAAATAAATACACAAGAAGCCAACTGAGTTATTGGAGGCAATTGTATTGCAAAAGTGAAGACAGCCTTGACACAGGCTATAATTCTTCCTCCCTCTAGTTTAAAACTATACAATCTATGTAGCCTTGAGAGAGAATATAGTCCACAAAGCTCACCTCAGCTGTGGGGAAAATGTTAAACAACAAAGAACCCTCTAGGTTCGTGGAGAGCAATGGTCAAGATGGCATATCACAGAGTAGAAGCAGGCAGGGCTGCCTGAGAAAGGAAGCACTTGTGATTCCTGCCCAGCAAAATCCCATCACTGTGTTTCTTCTGCCCACTTCCTGGTTTTGAATGGAAAGTCTCCTGGCTTCCCCTCACTCTACTCCTCTCCCTCTTCCTTCCCCCTCCCTTCTCCTCTCCCTCCCCTTTCCCTCTTCTCTTCTCCCCTTCCCTTGAATCCCCTCCTCTCTTCTCCTCTTTTCCTTCCCCTCCCCTTCTCTTTTCTTTCTTTTTTTTTTTTTTTTTACCCCTCTCCTCCCCTTCCTTCCCCTCCCTTTCACTCCTCCCATCTCCTTTCCTTCTCATTTCTGACTCATGGCTATCCTGCTTCTCATGCACCACTGTATGTAGAGTGAGATGGGGGTGAATCACTCACCTTGTCTCTTCTTGGTCATTCGGCCATGAGGAGTCGTTAGGATCTGATGGAGGGTGCTGCCTAGCCCATAGGTTCTGGACTTCTGGTGACCTGCAGTGACTGGGCAGATCTTTACAGTGGAGAGGGTCTGTGGGTTCTATCTGATTAGAAGAGAATACATAAATATATGTGAAAGACTGTGGCAGAAACTGTAAGTTAACATCCAACATCTGGATCTTATCTTTTCTTATCTTTTTCTTATCGTTTCCCATAGTAGTAGGACCCCTATTACTATAGCCCCTATGTTTAGGTGGCTCAGGGTGGTGCAAAATCAATACCATATTTCTCAGCATCCTTTGAGGGCTGCTTTAGTCATGTGATGAATTCTGACTACAAGTGTGCACCACCACATCCGGCTAATCTTTAAATTTTTTGTAGAGACAGGGTCTTGCTATGTTGCCCAGGCTGGTCTTGAATTCCTGGCCTCAAGCTATCCTCCTGCCTTGGCCTCCCAAAGAGCTGGAATTACATGCGTGAGCCCTGCTCTCAGTCCAACCTGGTTCATGAGCCTGGAATGTTGAGGGTGCCTAGTACCAGACATGTTCGTCCCAGAGCTGCTCTGCACAGGACTTCTGGCTTCACAACAGTTTTTGTCTGGTGGCCCAGATTCTCAGTCATGCTTTTCTCCAGTGCTGACTCTCGGAGGTTGGAATTAGTTTCTTTCAGGCATTCTCAATTCACTCTGCCTCCAAGATTTTAAATGATTTCATCTGATGAACTGTGACCATCTCAGCGTGAGGACTCTAAGGAGTATAAATGTCATTTGTGGTCTGGTTTCTTTTTCTATCTTGGCATCTGCTATGGACTGCATGTCTGTGTTCCCCCAAAATTTATGAGGAATGATATGGGAATTTGGGAGGTAATTAGGGTTAGATGAGGTCAAGAAAGTAGAGCCCTTATGATGGAACTGGTGTCTTTAGAAGAAGAAGAAATAGCTCCCCGACCCCTGCCCTCCCCTCCCCTCTCGTCCTCTCCCTTCCCCTTCCCTCCTTCCCTCCTACCCTCTCTCTCTCTCTCTCCACAAGCCAGCAAGAGAGCCCTCACCAGAAAACGAATCAGCTGCCACCTTGATCTTGGACTCCCAGCTTCCAGAATTATGAGAATTAAATTTTTGTTGTTTAAAGTACCCAATTTATGGGTACTTTATGTTATGGTGGTCCCAGTGGACTAAGACAGCACCACAATGTAAAACCACATACATACACACACACACACACACACACCCCCAGTGGACTAAGACAGCATCACAATGTAAAACCACATACATACACACACACACACACACACACCCCCAGTGGACTAAGACAGCATCACAATGTAAAACCACACACACACACACCCCCCCGCCAGGGGACTAAGACAGCATCACAATGTAAAACCACACACACACACAGTGCGTGGCACACATTTTTACCCAGTCAAACTCCTTCTTACACCAAGAATTCTTCTCTGCTTTGGAGCAGCTCAGTGAGTACAGGATGCTGGAAGATGAGCCCTGCAGGGCAGAATGCCCAGGCATGGGGCACAGCCCTGGCCCTGTGTCCCTCCGTTTCCTCAGGATTGCTTAGGTGTTGGGCTCTTGGTCATGGCTACATTAGGACTAAATTTCGGATGGAAACGGGCATGACACACATGCTGAGAGCACTCCTCGCTCCCCGGGGCATTAAATCACCTTGTTATTTAGTGCCCTCTAGAATCCTCTAATTTACATGTGGTCTCTTCTCATAAAAGTGTCTCAAGTAAATCTGAATTTGTTTAGACAATTTTATGGGTATTGTAAAACCACAATTGAATTTCAGGGCTTTGTCACAGTCCAGCCAAGATGCACTCCAATTAGAAATAATTGCTATTAATGATGTTATGATGTGGGGGATGCCTGCAGTGCTCCTGGACCTTTGTTGTACTGACTCCCCGAAGAGTCTGAGCTTTATTCTTCAACTAAATAGACAGGACCCTAGAAGATACGCTTCTGGAATTGTAATATTACAGCAATATTGTGCTTCTTTCTTAATTAACCTTGTTAACCAAGGATTTGGAACGTCGGTGGGTGACTCTAAGAGGGCCTTTGTTATCCTCTCAGTACACATCTACAGTGGAGTAAGATGTCACTCTGTGAAATAAAACGCCTTTATTCTTTGGCATACACCAAATACCTTCATCATTCTTTGAGTAATGATTGACAGTCTTGTTTAATGAAATAACATTTGTCAAATACTTAATTTGCTGCCAGACACAGTAAATGTTGAGTTATGATTGTTATAGTATTATCATAAAACAAATTTTTTTTTAAGGCTTTCTGAATGGAAGGGAAATATGGGACAGAGCTGTCATGTTTGTGGAGGCCACTCAAGGTAAATCAGACCGCAGTGGATTCCAGAGTTTACACTCCCTGAGATCACTGCCCCTATGACAGCATTTTACCCCCAAGATAGTGAAATTCGCAATTCTTTAGACTTTTACAGGGTCTCCCAAGGTACCGCTCATCCCTTCCTTGCTCCCCACAAGAGGGAAGTGACAAAGGCTGCTGTTTCTCTTGCAAGGCTGCCCCCGCCAGCCTGAGAAGGAGTTCCAGGGATATGGTAATTAACATATTTTTCTTAATCTTGCTTTTGTAGTTAATCTCCAAAGCATGAAAGCACTTTGCCAGTTGATTAAACTGTAAGAATACAATAGATCCGAAGTGAGGGCAGCACTGATGAATGTAAATGCATAAAATTGCCCATTCTGCAGGAAAACGCCTCAACCTGCATCCCAACTTGAAATACTAAGTTAAACACTTAAAATTAATTGCATGAATATATTTTTTGGATCAATAGATAGCAAAAAACCTAACTTGGTAGAATTTCATCTTCAAAATAAGAAGCAACCACTCTTTGATCTCTTCTAGGAAACAAAAGTGATTTGATTTAAGAGTTTGATCTAGGATCACCGCCTATGAGGGGGGTTCAGGGAATGCCCAGTAAGGCTCTTGGGGACAATGGTGCTGGATGGGCCTTTAGCCAGACTGGCACTCAGTCTGCATATCCAGGAGGGCATTCAGAAATAAGTATTTGTGTAGCTGTTTTGGAAAGAAGGGCATTAGAGGCGGGGCTTTTCTACATTAGGTGGTACAGGTTCAAAAGGCCAGAGCGGAGAGCAAGGAGGTGGGAATCCAGAGCTGTGTGTCCTCTGGAGAGAGGGCATTCTGACTGGATACCCACATGTCCTCTTTGCCCCTCAGCCCTGCTCCCCAGTACAGGTTAACCACAGCCACCGGCTCCATTTGAGCCACCTCCCCAACGACCAAAAAGCTCAGGGCAGCTTGTGGCCATGGCTTATCACTTTCTTACATCTGTGGTGAATGGAAATGACAAAAATAGACTGTCTTTATTTTTGGAAAACAAATAGCAAAAGAAAAAACCAAAACTCAACCAAATAGGTGATAGCAACATTATTTTCAAATGCATTGGTTGAAAATTCTAGTCCAGATAACAGAACAGGAGTGGTACTTGTGGTCTCCAGATATATTCCACTGTCAGACAAAAATACTTTTCTTCACTGAAGTACACATTATGTAACATTGTGTATCAGATGACCTCAGCCATCGAGTTGGTCTTTAGAGCTTCTTCTTTCGTTCAAGAAAGCCATCCATTGCATGAAAGATGTCAAGATAGTCACCTATAAGCAGTACTGTCTTGAGGGGCAAAAAGCTAAAGAGAACACAAGAATAAACTTTCGTGATTATCATTCATGAAAGCCTCTTTACCACCTCTACTGAAAAGCAGTGTCACCTCCTGTGGCAGATGAGGTCATTCACTCATGCACACACTATGCAGCCTGACTGCTACCTGCCTCAGGGTCACTGGGCCTTCTTCACTATATCAGAGGACACTTGCCCAGGGCCTCGACAGGTTTTGTGGCTTTACTTAAGTTATTCAATTCACTTCTCATTTCAGTTTCCAAAGCATCACTCCACTGTACAATGACACAGAGGAAGCAGTGAAGTGTTGTGGTGTAGGCATGGGCTCTGGGGGCAGATGAGCCTGGCTGGAATCCTAGCTCCGTCATTTGCAATGCCACCTTAGGCAACTGACTCAGCTCACAGACCTCAATTTCCTCAGCTGTAAAATGAGGTCATCAATCTGCCTGGGACTACTATAAGGATGAGATGCAATAACTCCTCAAACCTTGGGCAAGACTCAACTAACACTGTTCATTTTCTCCATCCCCGCCTGCCCCTCTGCAAAGCCATATATATGCATGATCATCATCCCAACAGAGCACTCTGCTCCACTGGCCTTAGCATTCAATACTGCAGAGCAAGGAAACAAAGCAGGCACAGGAAACCTGAGACTCATCCTAAGGTGGGGAGTAACAGAAAGGACCCCATGCTCCTTGTTCCCCTGTTTGGGCACCCCAAGATCTCCAGGTGGTTCATCCCCTCCACAGTTTCAAGTCTCTGGTCAACTACTACCTTCTTTATGAGACTCCCCCCACCCATTAAACACCACTCTTAAAATTAAATCTCACAGGCTGGGCGCAGTGGCTCATGCCCATAATCCTAGCACTTTGGGAGGCCGAGGCGGGCAGATCACAATGTCAGGAGTTTGAGACCAGCCTGGCCAACATGGTGAAACTCTGTCTCTACTAAAAACACAAAAATTAGCCAGGCGTGGTGGCACATGCCTGTAATCCTAGCTACTCAGGAGGCTGAGGCAGGAGAATTGCTTGAAACCAGGAGGTGGGGGGTTGCAGTGAGGCATGATCGTGCCACTGCACTCCGGCCTGGGCAACATAGCAAGAGTCTGTCTCAAAAGAAAAAAAAAATTAAATCTCGCCGAGATGTGGTGGCTCATGCTTGTAATTCCAATGCCTTGAGAGGCTGAGGTGGGAGGATTGCTTGAAGCCAGGAATTTGAGACCAGCCTGGGCAATATAGCAAGACCCCATCTCTAAAAAAATAAAAATAAATTAGCTGCGCATAATGGTGCACAACTATAGTCCCAGCTATTTGGGAGGCTGAGGTGGGAGGATGACTTGAGCCTGGGAGTTTGAGGCTGCTGTGGGCTATGATCACACCACTGCACTCTAGCCTGGGTGACAGAACAAGACCTTGTCTCCAAAAAAAATTAAATAAGTAAAATTAAAAAAAAAACGTAAATCTTGGCCAGGCGCGGTGGCTCACGCTTGTAATCCCAGCACTTGGAGTTCGAGACTAGCCTGGCCAATGTGGTGACACCCCGACTCTACTAAAAATACAAAATTTAGCCAGGCATGGTGGCAGGCACCTGTAATCCCAGCTACTGAGGAGGCTGAGACAGGAGAATCACTTGAACCCGGGAAGGTGGGGGTTGCAGTGACCCAATATCGTGCCATTGGACTCTAGCCTGGGTGATGAGCGAAACTTCATCTCAAAAAAAAAAAAAAAAAAAAAAAGTAAAAAAAGTAAAACGCAACTTGCACCCATCTACCTCCCACTGTGGGATTTCCTTTTTTCCCTTTCCTGCTTTATATTTCTTTAGCGCACTTACGGTCTTTTCTTTTACTTTACTTTTTTTTGTTGTTGTTGCTTTTCTGTTCCCTCACCCCACAGGAAGTGATTTCCACATGGGCAGGGACCACTGTTTGTCTTGTTCTTTGCTGTAACCCTGAGCGCAGATCTTTGGATGGTGGGTGATTCATGACACACACAGCACTCTCTGAATGTTTGCTGAATGAATGTTTGGTGGAGTGTTTGATGTGACTGCCTTTACTGAGCTTCTTCACCTTGCCTTTGGCTTACTCAGCAGCTATCTAGCCCTCTCTCAAAACATGTCCCATAACTAGTATGTCATAAAACTAAACATAATCTCCACAGTTATTCAAAGTAGAAAAAGTAAGTTCCATGTTCTTACCATTGGCATTACTATACTATAATCTGCTATCTATTAAGCAGAAAGAACTTAGTGTGTTGTGAATGCACACCCTGCCCAATAAACAGTGCATTACACGAATCTACAAGCTATGACAAACATGGTCTTTACATTGTAAATGAAGAAGCCAAAACCTGGAGAATAAAGGGCATGCTCAGAGTCACAGACTTAGTAAATAGTGGGATCATAAGCCTGGATTTCGAATTGCTTATCAAGGATCCTTTGCTGTGTCCCACACAGCCTCAGTCAGGCATTCTGACCCCTCCTGTGCCAGATGAAGCCTGGAGAAATGATAGGATGCAAGAATGACATTTGGTTCATTGCACAAAGTAGAGATAATTAGCTAACGAGAAAAGAAATTTCTGTACACTGGATGGGCAATGGCTGCTGGCCATGTAGTGGATGTGAGATATAATATCTATCTTCAAATAACTAGGAATTGTCATTGGCAAGACTGATGGAATTGCACATGGAGCTGGGGGAGAAGCACAAACCAATGAGGGGAAGTTCAAACGAGGCAGATTTCAACTCAAGGTGCTTCCTCACAGAGCAGAAAGCCCAGTGAGGCAAGATTTAACTAGATGACCTGTTACAGTCTAGAAAATGAATTGAGGTAACAGGAATCAGCAGCGCACCACTATCCTTGTAACCGGGTCAAATGCTCATTCAGTACCTATGAATTTCAGCACTGAAACTCCATGGAGAGCAGGGAAGGGTGCACAAGAATGCTTTTTCTACTTTTTTTTTTTTTTTTTTGACATGGAGTTTTCGGTCTTGTTGCCCAAGCTGGAGGGCAACGGCGTGACCTCAGCTCACTGCAACCTCTGCCTTCCCGTTTCAAGCGATTCTCCTGCCTCGGCCTCCAGAGTAGCTGGGATTACAGGCATGCGTCACCGTGTACTTTTTTTATTTTTTAAGAGACAGAGTCTCACTCTGTTGTCAAGATGGAGTCTCACTCTGTTGCCACTCTGATCGTGGCTTACTGCAGCCTCAAATCCCTGGGTTCAAGCAATCCTCCTTCCTCAGCCTCCTGACTAGCTGGGACTATAGGTGTGTACCAGCTTCAAATTCCTGGGCTCAACCAATCCTCCTGACTCAGGCTCCTAAGTAGCTGGGACTACAGGCTTGCACTACCATGCCTGGCTTATTTGTTATTTTTGTAGAGATGGGGTCTTGCTTTGTTTCCCAGGCTAGTCTTGAACTCCTGACCTCAAACAGTCCTCTCACCTTGGACTCCCAAAGTGCTGGGATTACAAATGTGAGCCGCTGCTCCCAGCCCTTTCTTGTGCTTTTAAGAGGTGGTTTTACGTTTTTTCCCTCAAATTCTTTAACCATCCTAAGAGTTCGAATTTATTATGTATTACTAATAGTACCCATACCACAAATTTCTGTAGCACTTGGCTTACTGTCTAGCCTTGACTTTGGGGCCCTGTACCTGAGGAGGTATGGATACAATATCTAGTCCAACAGGATTATTTTATCATGAACACAAGAAAATCTCTCCTAAAAATGATCATTTCAATCTTTCCATCTGCCAGTACATTCACATCTTTTTCAGAATAATTCGATACTAAGGTAGCAGGAAGGGTCAGACCCCATTTTCTTGACTCATGGGGGGCACTGCAACTATGTAAATTTGGTATTGCATCAGCAATGGGCACAATGATAGAATTAACAGGACTTAATAGAATTAAATGAATGAATTTTAATTTATCAGGTATTTTTAAAGTGGCTTCTGGTGGGATTTGGAGTAAACTGTAGATTGGCATGTTAGGGAAGTAATAGAAGCTAACGTAATTACCTTTTAAGAAACATCATGAAGTATAAAAACTTTGGCATATAGAAGTACATTTTTTCTTGTAGAATAGCTTCTACTATTTTTTCCGCGGCATATTCTGGTTCCAGAATTGGCAACAGAGAAGGACAGCTAGAATATAAAATGACAACAATTAAAAAAAAACCCCAAAGGCCAAATTCACAAATAAAGATAATTTTTCAAATTAGGGATAAAAGGTTTTAAGACGTTATCACTTTTTTCTTTCCCTTTCAAATTTCATTTATTTTTATATTTACTCCTTTATTGTCAATGTGTCAATGCAGTCAGTAGTAACATAACTAAAATATGAAATGAAAAGTGATTCTCATTAACACACTGATATTACAATATACATATATGTGAAATCATATTAAACAAATATTCCAAATATTTGTAAGGCAAGCTGTTGAAAACACATTGCCTGTAGTCTCCATGAGATACAGAATTGGGCGTCTGTGACTGCTATGGCCTGGGTATTTGTGTCCCCCACAAAACTCACATGTTGAAGCCTAAACTCCCAATGTGATGGCATTTGGAGGTGGGGCTTTTGAGGTGTAGCTAGGTCACCATTGTGGAGCCCTCATGAATGGGATTAGTGCCTGTCTGAGAAGAGCCTATCAGCACCTTAGTCTTGGACTTCTAGCCTCCAGAACTGTGAGAAAGGCCTTTTTCTTGTTTAAGCCACCTAGTGTATGATAGTTCATTATAGCAACTCCTTCTGTATGACCAAGACAGTGTCTCTCCAATGATTGCCAGTCCTCCTGGAATCAGAGAGGGGGCATAATGGGATTGGACGGCAGGAAGGGGATGTGGACAGGAGAGCCTGGGAGATGGAGGAGCAGATGCAGGGCCTGGGGGGCTATCAGAGAGACACTGCCTTGATAAACCATTCCCATTCAACTTGGTATCCTTCACACAAACACATACTAAGAACGACCTCAGAATTCTAAGACCATTTATAAATCATACTGAATCCCAGAACAATATATTTTAAACCACTTTAAAAAACAGAACAAAATAAAATAGATAGCAAATCATTTTTAAAAGTGTAGATTCTGTGAAATTAAAGGGTATACTTACACTGTAGTACAACCTTCAAACATTCCAGTTTTTATAAAAAAGGGGCACACAATTGTGGTTTTGATCCCCTTTTGATTTTGGACAAATGTTTCTACAAATACAGATTCAGCAAGCCCAAAGGCTGCAAATTTACTTGCACAATAATCTGCAAAAGACAAAGCATGATCATGTATATTCCAAAGTTTTAAAATGGCATTACCTTAAGGTCTACCCATAATGCTAACAGCAACAGAAAATAAGAAAACAATTTCAGAGGTCTCCTTTTGTGTAATCTTGGTCTACTCCCACTGGAAGAAGTGAGTAGGGAGTGGGAAGGGACATGGTTAACTGAAGATCAGGGTCAGCTGACAATGATCAGGTGAGGCCCAGCACAAGAAGGGCTGCAGAGATCCTGCCTCAGGTCACACTGCTGGACTTTACTAGCAAGTCAATGCATTGTGAGCCCCTGTGCTAGTTCTTACATGAGGCCCTGTCTCAAAAAATTGCAATCCCACTGGGGCATGAAGACATTCAAAAGAAGAAACAAAACACTAACTGATATAGGAATCTAGGCAAGAGAGGCCAGCATGGGTTGTGATTCTCAGATCAAGTTTTCTTCCAACTCTAACTTTCCTTCACTTCCAGAAAAACAACAACAGCAACAACAACAACAACAACAACAAATAAAACAAAGGGCTTGGTAGCTTCAACTTCCACCTCTTCAATACCTTGAAAATGCAGGGTAGGGGCAGAGGGATGAATGGAAAGTGACACTTGTGTCCATTTTGAACTTTTTGTCTTTAATCATACTTGTTTTAACAAAACATCTGACTATTCAATTGACTAAGTGAAAAAGTTTGGAGAAGAAATGGTGTTCAGGTGCATTAACACTTTCCTTTGCCCCACACATTCAGAGGAGGCATATTTAAACTTGCTATGTTACGGTGCAGCTACTGCAATTGGCAAGAGCCAGTTTATAAGTGCCAGGCATGGGGTTGTCCAGCCCCAGTGCTGTCCAGACAGTGGATCAGAGGCTAGAGACTGGGAAGGGGGAGGAGGAGTCCAGAGCAGCTTCTAGGGTAATTGAAATCATCAGGTATAAATGCAGCTGAGCCCCTTGACCCCTGAGATTCTGATGAGCAGATATGGCCCATGACCCAAGGAATCTGCATGCTAAACTGGCATCCCTGGTGGTTCTGATGCAGGGGAGAAAAGACTCACACGATGGGAAATACAAAAGGCTTACACTTGTTTCTAAGATGAGCTGTGAGTGGGAGAGTCCTGTATCTGAAGACAGGAATATTCTGTCTGAAAAGGATTGATAAGGAGCTGTAAATATACCTGAATGATTTCAAAGACGCGTGACTTAACAGATGTATAAGACAGAGGTAAGATAATAGCTGATAAGTTCTAAGAAGGAGAGAGGAAGGGAAGTCCTGAGTCATAAGGAGGATAGATTGGTGATATTTAGGGTGACTGGTGGTTCTGAAAAACCTATTCATGTGATGGACATACTGAGCTAAGACTGGTTTTGTCAATCTTGAACTATGCCACTTTGCTTCAAAGCATTAGGAACTACTGAACTGGCAAACTGGCTTATCTGTTACCCGAATGTCGCTGCTACAGTTCTGTTGGATGAGTTTTAGCAATCCTTGTAAGCCAGGACATGGGACATTTGCGCTAGGGGATGCCATGGTAGGTTAGGTCAAGGTTTCTGTTCCTTCTAGAGCCAGCTCCCAAGTTGGGCCTCCTTGGTTGAGGCTCTCGAAGGATCTCTTTGCCTCCTCCCCACTGCTACTGTCAAGTCAGTTGGCTGTTGCAAGGGAGATGAAAATGCCCGCCACTTCCTGCAGGTCTTCAGCCAGTGGAAAAACAAAGCAGTTAACTTTAGGTTTCTTGAGGTGAAGAAACTTTATCCAAACTCACAGCAGTGGGGAGATCACTTCAAGGAAACTTCAGGAGAAGACAGGGTCATCCTCCTTACCGTCCTGTGACAGTGTCAGTGTGACGTTTGGGGGACAGTTGTTATGTTGATCACTTGTGCAAAAAAATTATCAGTGAGGCTTCTCTCTCTTTTAAACAAAGGGGACTGCATAAGACCTAATGATTCCAAAGGGCACAGTCCAATTTCACGTAAGTCTATCTGATGGGCGGTTTTGCTACACGATGAAGTTATCAACCACTTATTGACTATACTTTTTAGCTTATTATTCTTTATCATTAGGACATCAAGTCAGTGCTAATTATTCAGAGCTATTATGCAAGTTAAAGTTATAGGGAATTTTGCAATTGTAAATGGCTATGTTTTTCTTACCTGCCAGCCCATTTACTCCAACTAATCCAGCTGAACTTGAAATGCAAACCAAATGTCCATGGTCATTAGCAATCATAGCAGGTAGAAAGGCTTTATAAGTCTAAGAAGACAAAGGAAAACTTTTGATGTTTAATGCCACATTGTATAATTTTATCAGATATTTATATACTCATTGTGATCAAAAAATCTTTCTTTTCAGCCCATAAAGTATCTGAAGGTATGGGGATATAAAAACTTAAACATCTAGAAAGCAATCATTTTAACTTATTTAACCTGTTAGATCAATTTTTTATGGCAATTCCAGTATTATTAAAATAATTTATTCAGACTTACGTTTTTGCTCATATTTGACTTTTAACGACACAATATTAAGACAAGAATTGAAGGAGTATGGGAAAATCTTTGTTGTGGCAGCCACAACCCCAAACCTCACAAACATGATGCTTTAGATTTAGATTGCCCTCTCTCTCCTTAGCTTGATTTTGAGTTTCAAATTTTCCCTGAACATTGTTCACAGGACATCTGGTTGTTGACTTCAATTTTAAAAGAGCACTTTGTTTTAAACTCATCTCTACTCTTTAAAATAAGTTTCTTATTTTTGTTCCATTTCATAAAACAGAGTATCTATTAGAAAGAGGGCACATCTGTATACTGTCCAACACCTTCACCATTGATTGGGAGTCTGGAGAAAGAACGTAAAGGAGACAGAAACGAGCTTTTGAAGAAGACATCTTCTGCCACAAAGGAGTAACTAATCACATCCAAAGACATGGAGGTGAGAAAAGGGATCTCTTACAAAGGCCAAACCTCACTTGTTTGCCTGCATTGCAATAAGTCTCAGAGAGAAACTAACAGGTAGAGAGAGGTGGGAAGTCAAAACAAAGCAAAAGGAAGCAGTGCAGCAAACAATCCGGGGTCTGCCATGAGTTGGGACACTTCTCAGTAGGGATACTGCCTTTGAGAGACCAGCCTTCAGGTAGCTCTTGGACACTCTAGCAATTGAGTCACTGTCTTTGTGCCTGGCAATGTGCAGATGCTTAAAGAATGTACATGAACTTGCCCAGAAGAAGTAAAGGGAGTGAGAGGACATGAGGAGTGATAGGAGCCAGGGAAACACCAGC